TCATTCCACAAGTTTTGAAAATTTCAAAAAACACATAAGGGGGGACCCTTATGTGATTTTTTTCGATCGAAAATTTTTTTTCGAGTTTTTTCGATCTTTTTTGATCAAACAGACAAACAATCCAAAAACAAAAAATAATGGAGAAAATTGTATTGAGAGCTCAAAATTTGGCTCAAAATGACAAAATTTTTGCTACCGGGCCTTCCGGGCCGGGCCCGGGGCTTGAAAATTTCCTCAGGCCCGGCCCGGAATTTTACAAGTATGCCGAAAACAGATTTAGACTTGTCAAAACTTGTAATTTAAAATCATGCACAACACGCTCTCCCCCGTTTCATTTCCGGACTGCAAGCCAGCGGAGCGCGATTGCATAACACGAGACGCAGACGAGAAACGAGGCGGCGGCAAATATGTCGATTTGAAACTTTTCAGCGTTGAATTGCTCGTTCTATTAAGTTTTACTGTGTCTTTATTGATTTTTACTTTGTTCCCCGTTTCTTTCTAATAAATAATACATTTTTCACAGTGTTTTGATTCCAGTTTCAGCAACGGACCGAGGAAAATCGTACGAATCATTCGTTTCGCGATTACTCGAAATTTGCGAAACCAAAGGTGCCGAAGAAAGAGCCAAAGAAGGAGGAGCCCGAAGGACAGGACATCAAGAAATTCATGTCTCCAGCTGCCACCAAGTTTCCAAAGAAAAAAGAAAAATTTTCCCGTTTCCTCTCGAGCACAGAATTCAACCATTGTATGTTTTCAGTTTTCGGCGAAGTCTACGGTATTCTAATACTATCAACTGACCTACTATTTGTGTAATTAATTTTCGAATAAACAAGTTTGTTTTGTACCCCTTCTTCTGATCTCTTTGTACTCGTGTTTCTGAAAAAAAAAAGTTTTCGAGGAATAAGATACAGTTGTAACATCAATGACATCAATGCGATCCACAAAAAGAGAAAAAAGAATGATAAATTTGAAAGAGTATTAATTTTAAAACGGTAAATATCACTCGAAAACCATTAAAGGAGGGTAGACATCAAAAATTTCAAAATTTTCATTTTTACTCAAAAGATATAACTCTGAAGTATAAATATAGCTATGTACTTAAAAACCTGAAAAAAACACTTCAAGGACGAAAAAATGCTATTTTTTGTCACCCTAATTTCTTCACTAGCTTGCTGCTGCGGCGTCGCTTCATAATGTGAAAAACGCGATGGTCGCCTCTTATACGCGTAGTGTAGTGGGTACGCTCTAGGCTAGTATTCAGGAGGTCAGAGGTTCAATCCCTGCTGGTGTTTTTACTTTTTTCTTCCCTTGTTTCCTTCGAATTGAATTTTTTGAACTCGGAATTTCTGAAGGGCTACCAGCGTGCCGCCGAGGCCTCGCTCCGAAGTACCAAAATCAGTTGAAAATAAAGAAACTTGTTTTATTATGTTAACAAATAAAATATGAAAAAAACTACAATTAATGACATAACAATTGAAAAAAAAACCACATAATTAAAACAATCCTCGTGCAGGGCTGGTCGTCGGAAGGTGAAGGAAGCAGTAAAAATGGAGACGTCTCTGAAAACCCTAGTCATAAAACAGTTTTTTATTCCTAGAGTAATAACGAGAAGTAATGAGATAAATAGGAACAGTGAAGAAACGGTTATCGAAGAGAAAATAGTTTTTTTCGCATGCCTTTAAAAAACACCGGCGACTGGCAAAATAATCGGTCGATAGAACTTTAAATTTACATAAAAAATTCACTTTTATATGGGTTTTATAATAAATAAGAAAAAAGAGCTTTTTTAATGTTTGAAGTCGTTAAAAATTGAAAAAAATAAAGTCGGGAAATAAAAAAATAAAAATGTTTGCGCGTGGGATTGCGTGCTTTAGGTGCGAACACCGCGACGGCAAAATACACATTCCCTGCAATTTTCCCCGAAATTTTTGTTGTCTGCCCTCCTTTAAAGTTTGTTGTTTTTTTATCAATTTATCACTAAATTCATTCTTTGAGTTTTTTCTGATATTCCTGTTGTCGGCAGTAAAAATGTATCTCCTCTCTCATTTTTGAACTTTTTGGCTTAATTCTTGTCTTGAAATGTTCGCAATATTCTACTCCACAGGTAAATTGCGAACGGATCCGTTACGGACGCTCAGCGTTCGCGCGCGGTTGAAATAGCAACCGCATACGGA